ATAACATATTAAAATTTTAAATAAAGTTATTATGTACATTTTTATATAATAATAAATTTAAGATGTGCAATACTTTTTCTATGTAGTGTATATTGCTATATTATAAAAAGTTAAAAATTTTCATTTAAAAAATTTCTTTTTAAAAAATTATAATCAATTTACTTTTGTTAACTAATTATTATTACAAATTCAATCAATCAAACATTACCAAACATTAAAACAAATTCATATTACCAATATACTATATAATAATTAATATAAACAAACCAATTTTTAATAAACAAAATTACATTATTAACAATTAAATCAATTATTTTTTTTTTAATATTCAAGTGAGATATACTTATTATCTTTATTAATAAAGTAAAAGTTTATCTTGTTACATAATTAATATTAAGCTATGGGTTATATTGCTATAGATATTAGCCTACCATTTATTTAATAGATATATCATCTGAAAAATCTTTGAGCAAGAAAAACTTGAGGAACTATCTGTTATAAAAAAATAAACAATAAAAAAACATTTGAGGCAAGATTGCCATAATATAATGAAATTAAATAAGGTAAGAAAAAGGTCAAAAAAATATTGTAGCTTTTGTTAAATATGGTTTCTGAATACAATTAGTTGTTTCAGTTGGACAATGATGTTACGCAAGCTACAAATAACTTAGTTAATTCAGTCAAATAGGTTTTTTGAGATATATTGCTATAATATAATTTGATTAGATTGTAATGTTAATAGTGGGGTTACTGAAACTTATACATTCCAGATGTTTATTGTTTTGTTTTGATGAGATGTAGTATATTGTTTTTACTGAAACCCATGCAGGACACTGATCATATACTCTTCCAATCCAGTAAGTTGTTATGTTGTTTTGATGTAATTAGGTAATATGGAATATTATTGATATTTTGTGTGTTATAGATCTTTTGATAGGAATAAACTAATTTTAGTTTTTTTTGTATATTGTTATCTATTATTTTTATCTCAGAAGAAAGATAAAAATAGAGAACTAGTAGCAGGGTGATACTTTAGATGAACAGGGCCAATGTGATATATTAAAGTTTCTAGAGATATACAAATTAGTACAATTCTAAGGTATATGAGATTAGGCAAAAGAGACAATAGTAATTTGTTTTGTAAAGATCAAGTTATTTATTTGATAAAATATATATTCAAGTCTGCCAATTCCTAGGTAAAATTGGGGTCTTTATATACATGTTTAAGTTATAATATTTTTATATAGGATAAATATATGCTATGGTAAAAATATAAATTAAGATATAGATATTATTTTTCATCAGAATATTTAACTATAGTAGTATTTACATAGATAAATACTTTGGCAAAGATAATATAGAAAGTAAAGATAAAATAAAATAGAAATATTCTAAAAATAGTAAAGATGCAATAGGTATAATAGATATTAAAGGTGCAGTAACAGATCTGTAATACAGAACTATTCTAGAAGAACTAACATTTCAAGAGTCAATGCTAATAAAAATCAGACAAGGGATATTGAAGATCTTAAGCAAAAATCAAGTGTAACAGTATGAAAATGAATGAGAAATGACAATTAACCAGAAGGTTATGCCAATTAACCTGGCACTAGTTATTATTAGCAGAAAACAAAAACTCTGAAAAAATAAAATGTTGCCTTTTGAGATGAAGATTGTATTTGGTTTTGTATATGTTTTTTGTGATATAATTAGGACTCTGAAAAGTATCAAACTGGTATTGAATTGGTATTAAAATAGTATTGATCTATAGTAAATTTAATATATGGGTTGTGATCTACTCATATGTTTTTATAGTTAATTTAAGTATTGAAGTGGTATCATTAGAAGCCCTAGATGTAATAGATAGAAATATGTATAAATATAATAAAACAATTTTCTTTTGTTTGGAGATTACTTATATAGGTTTTACTCAGTAAAGCAAAGGGATTAATTGAAGAGATTTTTATCACTTCCAAAGCATCCACCTCACTATGGAGAATTAATCAATCTTTTGTACCTTGTAGAAAACTAAGATAGATTCCTCTTTCAGAAAAAGGTTTTTGCTTACTGTTTACTATCTACCATTCATATTATTATCAAAAAAGAAAATTTTTTATAAATTGGAAAGTTGTAGGAAAGAGTTTTTAATTAAACCAATTATTATATTAATCCCTAAACATATTAATATAACAATAATAATTATTATATTAATCCCTAAACATATTAATATAACAATAATAATAATAATTATTATTATTATTTTTTTAAAATGGGACGTGCGCACGGCATGTGATCTTTATTGATACATTTAATATCCAGACAAACACCAAGTATCTCTACAAACTAACTGGAAATCGGTTGGTACATGAATACCTTTTATATCTCTACAGTTAATCTACAGTTTAACACTACCTAGTACATATATTACTATAAGACTAGTTATGCTAACTACTTTTTTTATCTAACTATATGTTCAACATCAAGTAGATATGTTCACATATCAGGTGGGACTTTCACAGGAGAGGAATCCTACCACTAGTTTAAACCTGCCTAAACCTGTTGATCCATTATTGCAGAGAGCAGTATGTATGGAATGTTAATTATAGAGATTAACCCCAGTCATTCCAATCACCTGTTATTACTGATCCTCGGAATGTGCCATTAGCATAGCATAATACTACCATTTTTACCACCTGTGGAACTGGCGTTCTTACTTGGATTCTGATTTAATCTTGTAGATCCTCATTAGACTCACTTGGCTTAACGATTTTTGTCTAGTCTTCTCACCACTTATGGCTGATACCTTGCCCATCAGCCATATGATTAAGTTCTGTGAAACACCACCATTGGGATAGATCTACAAGCTTCAGATTGGAATAAATTAGCTTAGAATTAACCTCTTTATATTGTGTGACGGAATCTGCCGTCGCCAGTTTGGATTAAAGTTTGTGGACTTATTATCAGAGTTAGATCAGAAGCCTTTTCTCATGCAACCTTCTTTGCTTCGACCTGTTTTCAGCTTGTAATTGTTGGGAAAACCAGAGGTCCCATTTTCATGCAACCTAACCAAATTTGGAGATAGATTTGTTAGCTGATTGGATACAACATGAATTGAAAGCCAGTTAACCAATCATGAAGATGATAAATTTTTTGTAACCAGGTGGGGTTGAACCCTAGACCTTCTCCTGATGACCTATAAAGCATTATCACTGTGCTATAAACCCATAAATCCAATAATTATTATTATTATTATAATAAACAATATTATATATACTTTATTATTTATAGTAACTAAAGAACCAGAGAAATAAAACAAAAACAAGCCTGTTCAAAGGTTTTCTTGAAAAAATAATTAATTTTTTATTTATAGATTTATAGTTTATTTAACTTGGTTTTAATTTCAATAATGTTTATTTTTTTTTTTCTTTTAATTACTTTACATTTAAAAAAACAAAAAGACTTTACAAAATTTTCTGAGTAAATAGGTATAGCTACTATTTAAACACAGCTAGTATATAATATTGTTTTGAATTTTTTTTTCTGTAAGCAAGCTAGTATTTAACTTGCTATTTTATGTACATAAAAAATGTTGTTTCTTTTACAATGTATACCTTGTTACATACAAATCAAATAAAGAAACAATGTTTACCTATAGGAGAAAAAAAAATTGTTTTTTTATATTTTTTAAAAAAATTAAAAGTTGTAATTTTTTTTTTTTGCATAATTTTTGAGTTATTATTATCTTTATGAAAGAAAACAATATCTTTCCCCTTGCTGGTCACATTGGTCTCACAGTCCATTCCAGTTTTAACCATGTCAAAAAAAACACAATAGATTTTTAACCATTTCTCTCTGACTCTTCAAATGCGTATATATTCCCTTTTCTCGAAGCCATATACGGTGACATACACCTCCCGGGCTATCTGCATCAATGGATATCCTAAATTGTTCATAGCTGGATGTATCCATTATCCACGTAGTACTCCTTCTATGTGGCCATCGTTACTTCGTAAAGCTAAGGCGGGTGGGATAAACATTATTGAAACATATGTCTTCTG